TTTATTTTTTGACTTTTTAGCATGGCTGCTCGCTGTTTCTGGGATGCTGACACTGACAACTGCACTCATGATATTTTCATGAATGTGAGTCTATTTGGAAACTTTTTCTCCCTTTCTTAAGGGCACCTGGGCATTCCAAATCAAATCACCTAATATTTGTGAAGATGTGAGGATACTTTTGTTTTAGATGTTTGTCTGAAACTCCTTCTGGGTGAGATGATTTTACTGTTTCTTTGCGTTATTACAGCAGAAACTTAGTGTGTTGCTTATAGGCCAGGAGACTTTTATGTGTATAGATGATGTAACTCTTCGTCAGTTTGAATGTGGGAATAGCATAGTTTATTTAGTGCTACCAGATGGATAGCACTTTGCTAAGCTGCAAAGAAATCTGGGTGGCAGGGGTTCCATGAACAGAGGTAATTTTCTTTCAGTAATAAAATTATCTTAAAGCTATTTCTCAAAACTAAATAAAAATAAGAATTTTAAAAAAGAGGTTTCATTTAAACATTGGTAAGTTATTGACATGAATGCTTTATGTGTTTTAATCATGTGTTATTTTACATTTGCTTTCAAAAATGATTCCATCTTCTATCCAAATGCTCCCAGGTTGTGAATTAGTAAAGACAGAATTAAAGTATAGAATAGTAGAAAAGAACTAGATTGAGTGAATTAGGAGAGAGGTTCCACTTCTAGTTCTTTAACTTTCTAATTAAATGACTTTAGGTAAATCACTGAAAATTTCTTAGATTGTATCAGTAACAGTAGGAAGCTGCACTAGATTTTCCCAAAGACTGACCGTGGCTGCTTAAGAATAATTTGAGGAACTTGTTTACAGTATAGATGCCAGGGCCCTTCTCAATAGATTCTGATCAAATAAACTAGGGGTTGGATCCATGAATCTGAATTTTTAAAGAAGTTCCTTATATGACTTACTGCCAGCTTTGGAAGCTGCTTGTGTAGATGATCTTAAGGTACCTTTTAGCTCTAAAATTCTATAGTCCTACTAAAGTTTTATTTTATGCTCGACTGCCCTAGGGATCAAGGCTGAACAGTGGTAAGTACTACGTAAATCTTCATTTATCAGCTCTCTTGGGGTAGGGGCAAGCTAAGGTGGTGGTTTTCCCTGATTATTTTGGAGTTAAAAACGTGTATTTCCCTGAGTCCTTATACAATACAATTCATTCATTCAACAAATAATTTTGAGCTCCTGTTATGTGCCAGCTTCTGTACTAGTCTTATATTTTAATGTCTTGATTTTGTTATAATCTGTTATTACATTTGAAAAGTAGGGATAACCCATAATTCAATTCCTTTATTGCTAGGAATAAAATGATGACTAAGACAGTCATGTTTTCTGCTGGTTGAGAGCTTATAAACCAGTAGAGGCTAGACAATACTCAGATTAACAAATATGCAATTTAAAATTTTAGTTATCAGTAAAGATCAGGATCACGTTTTAGAACACAGTGTTGGTAGAGGAGGTGTCTAAAAATCATTTTTGAGAGATGGGTCTAGATTGCTGACTTAATCTACTGTGTCTTTAGTTCAGTTTATTGAGTGTTTATTTAGGTTTCATTTTCAGAGCTTAAAGTACTTTGTTTATTTGGGAGAAGATCCCAGGAAGGACCACTACTAGATGAGGAAATAAGAGAGGGGAGAGAAAAGCATGTACTATTGAGCTGATAACTGCTGTGGATAACCAGGGCTCAATCCGGATGGAGAACTCCGGGTGGCACTGTAAGAACAATGCCAATCAGGGTGAGGAGGGTATAGCTTAGTGGTAGAGTGCCTGCTTAGCATGCACAAGGTCCTGGGTTCAATCCCCAGTATCTCCAAACAAATAAATAAACCTAATAACCTCCCTCTGCCAAAGAGAAAGAAAAAAATAAAGTTAAAGATGTCTTTAAAATAACTTAAAAAAAAAAAGCAGTGCCAGTCAAAGCGGGGTCCATAGACCAGTGCCAGTCCACAAACTGTTACAAGTCTTCAACAAGATAAGTACATAAATTGGGTGTAAGGGTTTAGAAACTCTCATGGGCATTTGACAAAGTAATTTTATGTCCATTGAATCTAATGAAAAGTTTAAGCTGTATTTGTATGTTTCTTTTTTATTTCATTTTCTCAGTTATTAATTTTATTGTATTTTATGAAAATATCAGTTCATGAGGGATTGGAAATTCAAACAAACAAAAAGTAGGTCCCTGACCACAGATAGCACAGTTTTAGAACACAGCTCACAGTTATCCTATCAAAAAAGCCAGGGAACTGGGTTAACCAAAGAATTTTCTTTGGTTAGTAATCAGGTACTTGAATTTATATTTTCTCCCATCACTGCCAGGCTGGAGGTGAGGTTGGTGGGTTGGGAGTTGCTGAGGCAGTTGGAATTCTTGTAATAAGTACCTAAAAAGTGTTTCAATAAGTTTTATTAGGATCTGGAAAACATTTTGAGATTCTGAGCTAAAAGATGGATAAATGAATTTTATCAGTTAAGAACAAAAAACCAGACATCATTTGTCCTTATCCAGAATTTATAACAAGGTGCTGTATTTTTATTATCTGTGATACAATAATATCCTTGGATTGGGTAATGCATTTACTCCGAGAAACTCAAAAGGATTTTTATACATTATATTATTTTTTTGTAAGTCAGGGAAAATCGGAATACTTATTTCATGGGTAAACATTACATAGTTCATTAGTTTGCATTTTATTTCTGCATTCAGAGACTGTAATTCTTTACCCATCCTACCTTTTTTTTTTTTACCTTTTTTTTATTCAGTTATAGTCAGTTTACAATGTTATGTCAGTTTCCAGTGTAGAACACAATTTTTCAGTTATACATGAGCATTCATATATTCATTGTTGCATACTTTTTCACCGTGAGCTAGCACTAGATTTTGTATATATTTCCCTGTGCTATACAGTATAATCTTGTTTATCTATTCTATATATACCTGTCAGTATCTACAAATTTTGAACTTCCAGTCTGTCCCTTTCCACCCCCCATCCTACCCTTTTAGCAAGCAATTTTGTAGCTACCCTGAGGCAAGTAACTTTATAGGTATACTCTGAAAAATATGTTTCTTGAAAAAGAAAATCTTCATGATTAAAAATTGGCAAAGATCTAGGTGATATTAATTTCAGGTCTGTGCTGCCCTTAGTCCTTCATTAGTACTAACATTCTGGATTTGTGTGTCTGTTTCTGTTTGTTTGTTTTTGGTCTTTTTTAGGACAGTTTATTCTGTGTTGTAGCGGCATTTGGCTGTTTCTACTATTAAATCTTTGAAAGCTGGAAAAAGATATGACCATGAAGAAATATGAACTTTTTTATCTTGTCAAATATTTTGACAAAATAAAGAAAAGTTGGCAGTTTGGCAACTGAGTCTGTTGAGTTTTAGTCCTTATATTTTAATGTTTTGATTTTTTTAATACTATGTTATTACATTTGGAAGGTAGAAAAAAAGTCGGGAAAATCTTTAATTCAATTGTTCAAACATAACCAACTGTAAATATTTTGGTATATTTTGTACCAGTGTTTTGTTTTTTTAATTTGCAGTGTTTAAAAAAAAATCACATATATACTTTTGTAACCTGATTTTTCACTTCTCATAATGTCATGTGCAGTTTTATGTCATAATTTTGTTTGCATTCTAATTTTCATAAGCATAATTTAATAGTTGTATTTATTCCTTCAGGTTATATAACATTGGTTATTTTTGCCATCTCCTTATTGAGGGACTGGTTATTTCTAATTTTTCATTATTATAAATAACACTGAGGCCAATTTATTTGTGCATAAAATTTTTCTCCTGCATTTTAAATTGTTGCCTTTATCCTTTTACCCAGTGTTTTTGCTCCGTTCTTGACACCTTGACATAGTTTCCACCACTTGTTACCCATGCATTCTTTTCTCCAGGCTTTGCCCAGTGTCAGGGTCTGAGAGTTTCCAAGCTGTATATGAAATTAACCTTCCTTTTAGACTCTCAAAGATTATGTTGTTACTATCCCAACTTCATCTTTGTAGTGCTGTTTCCCTTAGAGTTTCTGGTGTCTTTTCCAGCTAGCTGTCCTTATTTGGAGCACTTTAATCTATCTGCAATGTTCAAATAACTATGTGAAACTCAAAAGGGAAGGGTCACAATTTACATTTTTTTTTTCTCCCTGGAGGCTTCTCAGTAGATGCTTGTTTACCCACACTTTCTTCCCAGCCACTTTCAGGTCAAGCATGTAGACAAAAATAATACATGAAAAAATTCTTTCACATACCTTTTCCATAACATTGTAATTTACTTGCCTTACATCTATAGAATCAAAAGGGACCCCTGCAAAGATTCATTCTAGCAAAGGGAAACTTCTCTTCATCAGAAATCTTGCCATGTGATTGCCTACCAGTGGCCTCCCTTGAATCTGTTCCTTCTCAGCTAACCCCCCAGTTGATTCCTTGGTGAGCCAACCTAGGTTAGAAATAATAGGAAGTAAGAGGCGTTTGGGCCAGATGCAGGTTTTCACAGAACTTGGTTGGCGGACGTGAATTCTCTTTACATCATTAAGTAGGGGAAAGTCTGTGTGAAGCAGTCGCAGACCATAGGGTAGGGTAGGGGTTGTCTTGGATGGAAGGCGTCACAGCAATCTGCGTTGTCAATGTCCTGGTACGAGTGCCTGGCACCACGCCAGGCGCTGGGGGTGGAGCGGGAAGGACCAAGACAGAAAAGTCAGCCTGGGAGGGACCGAGCACGGAGCTGGGCGAGAGGAGAGCCATCGACCCAACGTTTCTTCACGGACTGCCAGCGAGCACGCGTGACAAATAACATCGTATTTCATTACAAGATACGGCCGTATCTTCTCCGCATACTCGAGTTCCGCAGGGAGATGGACCTTTTACCATTTTATCTTCTGTCTCTGGCGATTTCGGCTCAGTCTCTCCGTCCCCGCGGCCTCTATGGAGGCGGAACTACTGTGTCAGGTGTCTTGGTTTTCAGGAAGAAGTCGTGGTCGGAGTGACAAGAGGGCGGGCAGTAGGCGGGACTTCCGGCTCGCGGTTCCGTCCGCTGCCGTTCCCGGGCGTCTCCCCGCAACCTCCCCAACTTCCCTTGTCCGTGACGCGGCACCCAGGAGAAACCCGACGGGACTCGGGCCGAGGAAGCGTGAGCTGCAGGTGAGCACCCGGTCTGTGCATGTCCTTGCGGCTCTGTTTGAGAGGAGAAACTGTGGGGCTGACACCGCGGGGAAGCTAACTGAAAGAAGAGTGGGTCAGTGTCAGCAAGGGGAGTGTGAGGCAGGGGCTGCGAGACTACTGTGACCCAGGGGCACTGACAACGAGGGGACTGTGACAGAGACGTAGCTGCTTGCGAGGGGTCTGCGACCCAGGAGCAGTGAATGTGAAGGGACTCTGACCTCGGAGAACACGAGGAAGAGGCTGCGAGGGGACTATGACCGAGGAAATATGAAGCAGTGACTGCAGGAGACTGACCAATGGATAATTGTAACTGTGAGGGGACTCTGACCTAAGGGAGCATGAAGCAGCGGCTTCGGGGAGACTGACCAACGAGCAGTAACTTTGAGGGGCTGACTTGAAGAACAGTGCGGGACAGTGGCTGGACAGGGTACTGTAGGGTTGTGTTTGGGTAAGGGGTGTGGTGACTGAGTGGAGAAGGTCTTTAGTGGGAAGAACGTTGGTCTGGGACTCACCAGACAGACCCAAGTTTAATTTTATGGGCATACTTCTTGTGGCTGGGAGATTTACTTCATCACTGAGCTACATTATCTTCAATGTGAATGGGAAGTTTGAACGAGATTGTTTCCTAAACTATGGGTTCCACCCTGTTGTTGGGTTGTGAAATCCATTTAGTGGATGGCACCTGAACTTAAAAAAAAAAGGAATAGAATAGAAACTTTCAGTGTGTTTACATAGTAAAGATAAATATAGTTTCATGAAATGTATCTCATTTATGTATGTATGCCGTTAAGATGTAAAGTGGATCATGTATCTTAAAATGTATGAAATTAAATGTAGTAAAAAAAAAGTTGGAAAAACATTGGACCAGATTATTTCTGAGTCTTCTTTCTAGTTTACAATGCTATGACCCTGTAATTAGGGGACTGCTTCAAAATACACAGTTGTGAAAACTGGATCTGGGGCTGGGACACAGGTTCCATCAGATTGACTTAACTGGAGAAGGTGTCCCAGATATAACTGAGGGGACTAGTTATGACTGAGGACTGAAACTCAAGTTCTCAGTTGGGAGAACCAACACTTATATCTTGAAATAGGGACAGTGATATTTATAAAGGCAGTGAGGATATAGGGGTTTGTGATAGGAAAAACTGCTAAGAATAGATTACTGAGGAAGGGGGAAGCTTTGAGAAGGGTAGAAACAAGGCTCTGGAAGGGAATTGAAGATAGAGACAGAAAAGTAGAGTGGGAGTAGGAAGATATGACCTTCAGGGTCCTTTTAAATCTTGATATTCAATGATTGTGCAACTACAGAGAATTGCTAGTAAAAAGATACTGGTTGAGAATGGAGTTTGTTGCAGTAATCAGTGGTAAATAGATAATCATTATGGGGAAGAAAGGAAGATCTGGGATGGTCAACAGTGGTGACTGAAATTCCACAAGGGAGTTGTATTTAGCTGTCCAACTCAATGATTTGTGCACTGGAGGCCAAGACTGGCACACTGGGAATGATACCATGCTGTAGATAATTCAAATGATATTTTAGCTGTTGGTTTTGTTTCCTACTGATTCTCATTCATGAGGGCTATTAGTGATGCAGATGAAATGAACTAAAGTGAGTTTCACTACTTCCTCCTTTCTTACAGCCCTTTGTGGAGTGTGCTGATTTTGTCACCCAATGTTTTAAAAAATATATCTAATAGAAGAAGCTTGAGGCAATTTTAACTTATCATACAGTGTATTTATTGATTACCTAATAGTCGTCCCCACCATCTATAATTTGTGATAGGATAAGACAGTTCAGAAAGATGCTTTTTTAAAAAAATTTTTTTATTGCGTTATAGTCCTTTTACAATGTTGTGTCAAATTCCAGTGTAGAGCATAACTTTTTTTTTTTTAATGGAGGTACCGGGGATTGAATCCAGGACCTCCCACATGCTAAGCACATGCTCTACCACTGAGCTACACTCCTACCCCCTCAGAAAGATTCTTGAATGGGAATGAGTTGGGAATGGTGAGGGATAGCCTTTGTTTAGCTAAAAAATGGCTAGTTACACCATTTTCTAGAACATTAGATATTTATTTGGCTTATATTCTACATACCTAAAAGGAGCTACTGAAGAATTTGCTCCTAGAATGGAATATAATGCTCCAGGGTAACTAACCACAGAAGGGAAGACATTTAGGCTTGGGAACTGCAGCACTGCCTCTGGGGTCATTTGTGTTTGCTGAATGAAATGATTCTTTTTGATCTACCCTGCTTGCAAGTTCCATTTGAAAACCAGTATAAATGGCCTGATTGATAAAGAGTGAATGTAATTCTTTCCTTAGCCTGTGATTTCTCCTCCCATAAATAGGTGAAGTTTTATTTTTCTTGAGCGCCTCCTCACTGGATATATGATCCCTTAAGGAGAATGATCTAGTCAGATGAAGCCTTGCATTCAGGAGTCCCAGGTTACTTTATCTGATGTTAACACTGACTCACTCTGTGACTATAGGAAGAATTATTGTTTTCTCTTGCTTTAGATTTTCTAACTATGGCATAGGTAGCTGTTCTTCTGGTTAAATAGCCCTTTAATAATCTGAAATAAATACCCGCTCACCAAATTCAGTATACAATCTCCTGGCTTTTGTAAGTGACCTGACCTCGTTTATAATTTTCCTATGGAACTGTCTAATCTTTAGATTAGGCATCATTCCCCTTGGGAGCTGAATAGCCTCTTCAGTTGTAAATTCTGATGAGTATTAATTTATGAAATATTCATTGAAAAAGCAGGCATAATAATTTGCTCTTGTTATTAAAGATGCATAAGGACAAAATATCTACTAAAACTTGCAATTTTCTAATGCTTTTCTTTCCAAGTATTTGCATAACTCTGATCTGAAGCCAGATCTCTTGGCTGTTCTACTCGTAAAGATAATTCTCCCAACTGAATCACACAGAAATAGGTCTTTCTTACACTAACATTTGTGTTACCTTAAAATAGATTGGAAAGAATACATTTTTCTGAAAGTCACAAGTTTTAGGAAATTTTTTCAGTTAGAGAAACCTTGAAGTCAGAGTACTTCCCAGTCTTCACTGGACTATGAAGATTTCTTTTTGCTCAAGATTGTGGCTGCTTCTTCATCTTTTACTTATGCTATCTCTACATAAGTCACCTTAAAGAACAATATGATTAAGGAAGGAAAGAGTGAGATCAGGGCTCTAGGCTCAACCCTCCTGCTTATTTGCCCACAGGGTAACTTCTAGCACTTTCTCTTCCTAAACTTAAACCTTTCTGTTTCTAGTCCTGAACTTTTCTTTTCACAATATTCCTGTCAAATGGGTACTTGGACACGTGTTTATAGTGTGATTTGTTTTGTTAATTGTTTTTGAATGATTTGTAGCAAAATTTAAATCCTAACTCCCTTCTTCTATAATTCAGTCAGTAAATTCAGGGAATATACATTTTTACATATTCTATTTTGCAGTATATGCCCCGGTGCCATTCTAAAAGGAAAAAAATCATGAGTCTCTAATATATATTTGGCACTGTGTTAGGTTTGTTTACATACGTTATCTCATTAATATAAATATTGAATTGCCTGTATTTTACTGTTTGCAAAACAGATTAGTAGATAGATGTAGAGCAGGGTTTTGTTTTGTTTTTTCATTTTGTTTTGGCCCTTTTTCTCTCTTTCTTTTGGTAACTCTCTGGTTGAAAATTATGTTAGTTTGAAGCTTTCTATGTTTGGACTAGAATGACTGCCAATGAACCAGGGGAACCCATGGATCTGCTAGGCTGTTTTATCACATTCACAACTATTTGCAAACCAGTTTGAAGTGAGGGCTGCTAAAAATAGTGACTTACGGTCTTTGTTCTGTATTAGGGAACAAAATGAGTGTATGGCATTTAACAGAAAACAGAGAATTACCTCAGATGTGATTGATTGTTTATTTTTTTGGTCCTAAAGCAGTGCCATGGACTCCTTTGGCAGTATGGTGAAACCTTGTGGACTCCTTTTTTGGAATAATGTTTCTATTTTTTAAATTTTATTATTTGTTATTTATTTATTTATCTATTTTTACATTTTAAAAATTGAAGTATAGTCAGTTTACAATGTTGTGTCAATTTCTGGTGTACAGAACAATGCTTCAGTCATACATGAATATACATATATTTATTTTCATATTCTTTTTCACCATAAGCTACTACGAGATATCGAATATAATTCCCTGTGCTATACAATATAAACTTGTTTATCTATTTTATATATACTATCCAGTATCTGCAAATCTCAAACTCCCAATTTAGAAATAATGTTTCTATAAGCAAAAAACAAAACAAAACAAAACATAGAATTATAAAGGAAACAAATTAGGTTGAAATATAGTTATCAAACTTTTAAAAATATGTTATAGCACATGTGCTTTTTATTAACATAGTAAATAATGTTTACTGTCTATTAATGGGTCTTGTGATTTTGATAATTTTAAAATGATCATGAGTTTAAACAATATTTCAAGATACATGTAACAAGTGTAACAGTACATGAAAATACCTATGATTTCTATTGGTGATGAAGTTTATTCTACTAAATCTGCTATTACTGTTGTGGCTTATGTTCATATTTGAAGAAATGGTGAATTTGCCAGAGGTATGTGAAAATAAAGATACTTTTTTTGGGGGGGTCCAAATCCAAGACTCCCTGAATCTATCATAGACACTGCCTTAGAGTTGTAAGTTCCATAATCCACTCTACGAAGAGCAAAATCTAAACACAGGGTTTATTCACTGAATTTTCTGGTACAGTAGTGGCAAAATTATTCAACTGTAAAAACTGTTGCTAGTGTCTCTTGTGTTTTTTAGGATAATCTCTTTCCTGAAATATCCTACTGTGTGGCTGGGACCAAGTATAAGCTTTACTTTGGTCCAGGACTAACCCAGGGTCTGGCACAGAATAAGTGCCCACTTGATGTGTGCTGAGTAAGATTTCTCTCA